AAGGGACTAACGAACCAAACGGTCGGCGTAGTGAACGAGTCCGACGAGCTCCGAGGTGGCAGGAGGAATTTGAGATGAGTTGGCGTACTCTCATTATTATTGGATATTCATTATTAATTACTTTATTATTTATATATTGAGTAATGTATTAGATTTTATTAGGTGAGCGATTTATAAGCTCCTTCGAGTGTTTCTTTACGGTTCTTTACCTCGTCGCTTTTTCTTGAACCGTCAGGATAGACAACTTAGTTTCCTAGGGTTAGGGTTTCTCTATCTATAAATATGGAGATGTAACCATATCATAATAATATCAAGAATAATTAAACCCTAAATTTTCTCTCTCTTCTTGAGGCGCACGGTTCTCTCTGGCCTCCGTCCTCCTCTTCCTCTCTTCTCTCGTCTACCTTTCCCAAGAGCTCGGAGATGCTCCAAAAGTCTTCTTATCCCGATACGTGAATGTATCATGCCCTTAGCCGTTTTGACTCTTCTATATCTGTAGTTGGGATTTATCTTTTCTACGTGGTCGTAACAATTACTTCAAGCAGTGGAAAGATCAAAAGATGTGCTCCTAATCTTTGGGTTGTTGGACAGAATCAAACCACACTGGAATGAATGGTATAATGTCCTCTAGCATTTCATACTTATGGGGAACTTTTAGCTATCAAGGAGAAAAAAAGCTATGTGAAGTAAAAGAAAAAAAGGTTGGCGACTACTACTAAGAACCTAAGAAAACTTAATAAGATGGTTTTTCTATCATATACTTTCTCACTCAAAAATTCTTTACTTCTTTATAAATGAAAAAAATTAGAGAGAGTGATTAACAAAGAGAGAAATAATAAATGTAGAAATTAATAAGAGAGAAAATAGTTTGTATATTGAATTTTTCTACCAATTACAAGGGGTTTCTCCTTTATTTATAGGAGAGGAAAAAGACCAAAACACAAAAGGAATTCTACTCCTACATGGAAAACAACAACAACAACAACCCAGTTAAATCCCACAAGAGTAGGGTCTGGGGAGGGTGTGTGTACGCAGACCTTGCCCCTACTCGAATGTAGAGAGGCTGTTTCCAAAGAGACCCCCGGCTCAACGTCGAAAGTTGCATTGCTTGACTAACTGCTACTCCTACATGGAAACAAAATCACTAAATATGAACTAGGAAACAAATCAAGAGCAATCCCACTTAAAATTGGATTTGCTTTCCTTCTTGCCTTGTGGTCCAAGGAACACAGCCCAACACCCCCCCTCAAGCTGGAGCATGCGGATTCTGGACGCCCAGCTTGGACAACAAATGAGAAAACGGAGCGGAAGCCAAAGCCTTTGTGAAGAGATCTGCCGGTTGTTCATTGGTGGAGATGTGGCGAGTACACAAAACACCTCGTTGGATTTCGTCACGCACAAAGTGGCAATCAATTTCAATGTGTTTCGTACGCTCATGGAAGACAGGATTAGCTGCAATATGGAGGGCTGCCTGATTATCACAGAACAACCGCATGGGTTGTTTGTGACGCACACCAAGGGAGAGAAGCAGGGATTTCAGCCATTTTAGTTTACAAACAGTGGTTGCCATAGCCCTGTATTCGGCCTCAGCCGAAGATCGGGAAACGACACTTTGTTTCTTTGTTCGCCAAGATACCGGAGAATTGCCAAGAGTGATAAAGTAGCCAGTAACAGAA